TAGCCCTTGGCGATGCTTCCTTCTGGCGAGCACGGTTTGTGAACATATTTCTTCAGGACTACCATGAATCTCTCTAAAGGGAACATGTTGTGTAGGAACACAGGACCGAGAGTGAAAATCTCCTTGACTAGGTGAACTAGGAGGTGTGTCATAATATCAAAGAAGGAAGGAGGGAACACCAACTCAAAGCTGACGAGACATTGAACCACATCATTCTGTAGTTTAGCTAGATCAGTTGGATCAATTGCCTTCTGAGAAATTGCATTGAGGAATGCACATAGCTTCACGGTGGCTAGACGTATATTTGGAGGTAGAATTCCTCTTAATGCAACTGGAAGTAATTGCGTCATGAGAACGTGATACCATGGGACTTTAAGTTACGTAATTTCTTCTCTCGGCACATTTATAATACCCTTTATATTCAAGGAGAATCTAGATGGTACCTTGATGTTGTTTAAGCATTCAAACATGATTTCCTTCTCCTCTTTGCTTAGAGTGTAGCTAGCAGGGACGTAAGTAATGGCGTCCATCATCTCGCCTTCTCTCGATGCGTGTTGTCTCTTTCTCTCAAACAACGCAGTCCTGTCAGGCTTCAAATGTGTCCTTAGGCTTTCCATACACACCCATAAAGCCTAGCGAGTTCACACAAAGATTCTTCGTCAGTGCATCACGTCGATCGAGCTACGGACCTCCGTGGACTTGCCAATAGGGTAGGTCCCAAAATATGGACTTCTTCTTCCACATGGGTGCGTGACCGTTAGCGTCTTTTGGAATAGGTTGGCTTCCATGTCCTTTTCCAAAGACGACTTTCACATCATTGACCATATCGAGTACATCCTCACCGGTTCGGTTAGGGCTTGGTCGTGGTCCGCTTCTTCCTTTAAAATGCTTGCCTTTCTTTCTTACGGGTGATTTGCGGGAAGAAATCGACGATGGCCAAGGTACCACGACCTTTTGACATTTTTTCAAGATACACCTCTAATATCACCGAAGCAGTGTGTGCATGCATTATATCCCTTGTTTGACTATCCTGAAAGATTACTTAGAGCAGGCCAATCATTGATTGTTACGAACAACAATGCTCGCAGATCAAAGTGTTCCTGCTTGTACTCATCCCACACACGTACACCTTCTTTATTCCACAAAATGAGAAGTTCGTCAATAAGTGGTCTCGTGTACACATCGATGTCATTGCCGTGTTGCTTCGGGCCTTGGATGAGCATAGGCATCATAATGAACTTCCGCTTCATGCATAACCAAGGAGGAATGTTGTAGATACTTAGAGTAATGTGCCAAGTGCTATGACTACCTTGCTCGCTCTCCAAAAGGATTGATACCATCTGTACTTTTAAAGCAAACCTTAAGTTTCTTGCGCCATTTGCAAACTCCGGGAATTCTCTCGTCGATTGCTTTCCACCGGGACCCATCAGCCAGGGTGTCTCAACATATTGTCTACCTTATGGTCTTCTTTGTGCCATCGCAACAATTTTGCATGTTCTTTGTTTTTCGACAGACGTTTCAAGCGTGGTATTATAGGAGCATACCACATAACCTTGGTAGGGATTTTCTTCCGCTGGACGTTCGCCCTCAACATCACCGTGGTCATCTCGCCCGATCTTATATCATGGATGCATGGCATACCGGGCATGCATCCAATTTCTCGTACTCTTTACCACGATGCAGGATGCGAGTCATTAGGACATGCATGTATCTTCTCTATTTCTAGCCCCATAGGATGTATAACTTGTTTTGCTTCAGAGGTAGTGGCGGGCAATTCATTGTCCTTCGGAAGCATCTTCTTTTGAATTTTAGTAACTCTCCAAATCCCTTGTCGATACACCATTCTTTGCCTTCCATTGCAAAGCAATTTAGTGTGGTTCCCAACTTTTTCTCGCCTCGCATCACAAGTTGGGTACAACAATTTCTTGTGATCTTCTAGCATCCACTCGAACTTGATCTTCTCCTTTTCACTTTCACATTCTCTTTGTGCGTCCACGAATGACCTGAGAATCATCATCACCGCTCATCTTCTGCGGCTACCTCTTCTTCACTTTTCTCCCATTGCAAAGATCATTGAAGCACGCACCATCGGAATAATATCATTGTCGTCCCATTGTTCTTCTTCACCTTCTTCCATTACAACACCGGTTTCTCCGTGCTTTGTCCCACAAATATAGTTTGGCATGAAACCCGACTTGAACAAGTGTGAATGAAGAGTCCTTGAGCAAGGATATTCCACCGTATTCTTACATATGGCACATGGGCAAATGCATGAAACCATCGCGTTTGTTTGCCTCGGCCAAGACGTAACAAAGAAATGCACGCCGTCAATGAACTCTTGGGAGCGGTGATCATTATTATACATCCAATGACGGCTCATCTGCATTACATGACATAAATACCATATTAAAACCTAGATCATAATTAATTATTTATACAACATGCGTGCCACCACAAAAGATACAAATTTATGAAAGCATCGCTACAATGTAGACAATCCCAACTACCACTAAAAGAACTAAAGCTAAAATACATTTCAGTAGCAGTAGGATTTCACGACCAATCTCAACTAAAACAGATAGATCCCCCGATTGTGCAACATCTTTGGGCTTCTTCGGCTGGATCACTGCCTCATTAGCCGTTGTATCTGCTTGTTGTGCAAGATATTTTTGCACTAGTCCAACATACTCTTCCTCCCAGTAGAAGCCTGAACATCGTCCACTGCCATCCCACTGAAATTAAAACAAAAAATTAGAACTTTAATCACAACCATCATGAAAATAGGTATAAACTAACCATAATCATTAAATACGATAAAATAACTCACATTGCGATCCGGACACTTGTAGAAGATACGATCCTTGTTGGGACCCTCCTTCTTCACTCGGTACTCCATCACAATCTTCGCCTCATCACGACACTTGCCACATGGAATGAGAGGGAGGCCCGCCTAAGTCGCTTTGGAAACCCATGAGAGGCCGAGGACCCGGCGCCACCATCTACTCTCTATACTTATTTTTTAATACACTATAAATTTCTCCTTTTATAAACAAATAAAATTAAGAAACTATAAAATTATCTAGATCTCTAAACAATGATATTTTTAATGGTCATTGTGTTCTCGCTTTTTATCGCGGCGGTAAGTAATTCACATGATATTTCTGCAAATTAATGTAAGAATGGGAGTGTACACACATAACGATCATCTGCGACGATATCGGGGACGTGTGAATAAATAACCATCCATACTAGTTGACCTTGCTTACGTGATCATCTCGGCGAGCATTTCTCCACCGGACGGCACCGTGCCAGGCCACGGAAGAGCTCCAATTCTACGAGGAAGGGAACACGGTCTTCCACGACCGTTGTCGCTCTCCCTCGTAGAATCAAAGCTCCTCCTTGACGTCCGTTACCGCTCGGCAGAGAACGTGCTCGCCGAGATGAACACGGTCCGCAAGTTCAACTAGTATGGATTTTCTATAATTTTCTAAGTTTATATTTATATATATACTACGTTTGGGTACGGTGATTGATGTATCTATCGCGATGATATCGGGACATGTGAATAAATAACCATCCGTACTAGTTGACCTTGCTTACGTGATCATCTCGGTGAGCATTTCTCCATAGGGACGGCACCGTGATTTGACCACGGAAGAGCTCCAATTCTACGAGGAAGGGAACATGGTCTTCCACGACCGTTGCCGCTCTCCTCAGAGAATCAAAGCTCCTCCTTGACGTCCGTTATCTTTCGGCAGAGAACGTGTTTCACGAGATGAACACGGTCCGCAAGTTCAACTAGCTACTTTAACCTTATTTCATGTAAATATGCAAGCTTGAAGTGATTTTGAGCTCAAATTGCTTACAAATGAAAAAAAACCAAAATAAAGAACCATATATATATATATAGTGAACAAAATGAGATAAGACAATGGTGAAAAATGAGAGTATGAGATTGGTAACCTTTACAACTGAAGAATCAACGGAGGAATCGAAGAAATCGATGGAGGAATCGAATAATGGATGGAGGAACAATGGAGGGAGGGAGGAAGCAAGAACACTACTGCAGTGAGCTTCAAAATGTGCTGAGCTCGGGCTCAGGGAGGAAGGAGGAGACGGCCGGGATATAAAGGGGGGACCTTTAGTCCCGGCTGGTGGCTCCAACCGGGACTAAAGGTAACTTTCCAACCCCGGGCGCAGCCACGGCCCGGGAGTAGACCTTTACTCCCGGTTGGAGCCCCCAACTGAGAGTAAAAAGTATACCTTTAGTCCTCAAACAGGGCTCCAACCGGGACTAAAGGTCCCTGCCACCTCATGCAGGCGCAGAGCCGTTGGGGCAGGGACCTTTAGTCCCGGTTGGAGACACCAGCCGGGACTAAAGGTATTTCTAATCCCGGGCGCAAAAAATTCTGGGACTAGAGCCCATTTTGGCCGAGGATCAAAGGCCTGTTCTCTACTAGTGATACATATCCTAATAGATCTCGTAGTATCTTCAGGATATCTTCCAGATGTCTTGGGAAAGGCGCCGACCAGAGTCGTGCCCCGCATGGCTTCATCTTGTGGGTTGGGCTGCCCCTGAGGGTGCAGCCCATGTGGTTAGCCGTGGGTATCCGGGGTCATACCCCCCACAACAAATATATTTCTATGCCGAGTGTATTTGTTTGCTAAGTGTTACCACTAACGGACACTCGGCAAACATACTAACGGACGGCACACGAACTAACGATTGTCCACGTGGCGGTTCTTTACCGAGTGCTTAGCTTTTGCCGAGTGTTTTTTTTCTGGTTTGCCAAGTGCCAAACTTTGCCGAGTGTTTTTTGCCTTTTTGCCGAGTGCAATTATTTTGCCAGAGTGTTTTTTTTAAAGCACTCGGCAAAGATCTTCTTTGCCGAGTGTCCGATATAATGCACTCAGCAAACATTCTTGCACTCGGCAAACACCCGGTTTCCGGTAGTGACGTATTGATGGCCAGTTTCGGAACATGCTCCTTTTAGGAATCGATGGGCATTGGGCAGGTAATTCCTTTCTTTTAATGTCCTTGATTCGAGCCTTTACTTTACTCTTCTAGTTGTTTTGTATTTTATGGTTAGCGATAGCTGTACATCTTGTCGTAAGTGAGAGCAAGATAGTAACATAAACCTGTACATGCATGCATCAAGATAATACTATACCTAAACGTTGTCATAATCCAGCAATTGGGCAACGTTTTAGATGACACTCTGCCAATGGTACTTGAAGCTCTCTCTCTATATAAGGTGTCCACAAGCTAAGAAAGGCTGTGCTTCTTCTTGCCCGGCTGTAAGTAGTCTTTCTTCTCTTCTCTATTTGATCTGTCACTAACCATGCATTCATATATATAGTACACTGTTTGCATGAGATTATATATTATAAATCCTGTTATATATATTCGAATTGTCCGTAGTTTCTCTACGATTTGTTTCTAAGCTTTCTTAAACGTTTGACTTCATTTCCATTTGTTTTCATGCAGATCATGGAACCCGCTGCAGCATGGGACAGACCTTGTGACTTTCAGCTGGCGAACTGGACCGTTGAAGAACCAGTTGCTGATCTCCCTCTCCCTGTAGAGTATGCGTCTATCGACATACCCGTTGACTGCGGCATCCAAGCATATGAATATGATGTGCAGCAGCTGCTGGTTGAGTACTATTCCGCAGCCTCACGACGAATTTCTACAAGTGAGAAAGCGAAGATCTCGAATGACAGTCATGCTAGGAATGTGGTCAATCAAGTACTGGATGACTTTAAGGCTGATATGGACATGATGAAACAGAAGATGCATAGATACCCTACATGCCTTGGAGCTGTCGACAAGTCTTATACCGTGCCAAGGATCGTGGCCATCGGCCCCTACCACCATGGCCTGGAGCACCTCAAGCAGGCGGAGAAAGTGAAGCACGTCGCCGCCTGCCACTGCATCGGGGACGTCCAGCTACTGGAGGAGATGTATGAAAAGTTCGTCCCCGACGCTGATCTTGCTCGCCGCTTCTACGACAAGGATGTGATTGAAGGTATCAGCTATGATGACTTCCGACATATGATGTTCTTTGATGCTTGCTTCTTGGTGCAGTACATGGCTATGCGGACTAGCTTTATCCGCCGTGACATAATAGACGGGAGCTTGCAGAGATTCATGAGACCCAACCGCAGCGATATATTTCATGATGTCATGCTACTTGAGAACCAGCTCCCATGGACGGTGGTCGAGAACGTCCTGAGCTTCATGGCAGACAATGACCCAGATGTGCCATCGATACCCAAGAGGTTCGTATATAGATTAAGGTACTGTATGCAGCCAGACGACCATCGTGAGCGTCCCGAAGAAGAAGAGCCTTTTAACTGGGATGATGAATACAGACCGCCGCATCTCCTTGGCCTCCTCCACTACTACATTGTTGGACGAAGAAGCCACATTGATAAGGAGACGGACGAAGAACCCAAGAACTTGTCGTTTTTTGTCAGTGCCATGGACCTTGCCGAAATCGGCATCACGCTCAAGGCCAACAAGACGTTGCAGCTCCTTGACATGCATCTCAATCAGAAAGGGGCTGTCTTCACTGAGCTCTCATTGGCGCCGTTGTCCCTGGACCGCAACCGTGCAAGCCACCTCGTCAGCATGGCGGCTTTCGAGCTGTGCACGATTGAAAGCTTCGGAGCTAAGAGAGCGAGAGATGAGGACTCTGCTGTCTGCTCCTATGTTATGCTCCTGGCCAATTTGGTGTACAGGGAGGAGGACGTGCAGGAGCTACGGGAGAGGGGTCTCCTGCAGAGAGGAGGAGGGCTCACCAACTCGGAGGCGCTCGCCTTCTTCACCAGCGTCCAAGGTCTGCGCTTCGGACCATGCTACACTCGCATCATGAAACAGATCAAGTACTACAGGGACAATAGCCGTATGAAGACCAAGCTGCACGCGTTCGTCCACTACCACAAGAAAACCATCGCCGCGGTTGTCACCGGCATTGGTGCGGTTGGCGGGATCATAGGGACACTCCTGTCGATCAAAAAGTCCATTTGATTTGGATATATATACCCATGATATGAGATGTTGTATCTATGCTTTGATTGTCAATTTCCTATTTTATCTATAGATGTTGTATCTCTCTCTCTCTCTCTCTCTCTCTCTCTCTCTCTCTCTATATATATATATATATATATATATATATATATATATATATATATATATATATGTACCTTGAGTATATGACAAATTGAAGATGGTGCCTGTGTATTTTTTAATTAAGGATGTATTTTTTTAAACAATTAAGGATGCATTTTTATTGTACTCAACATAATTACATCGAGTAAAAAACAACAACCTCACACCCTATAAAAGGTGATTGTATGTATGTAATACACCAGCCCATTAGTAGCCTATAGTAGTTGTGAAGTTGGCTCATGTGACACATGTGGAGCTGTAGTTGGCGGGTTTAGTACCACCTTAGAAGTTTAGAAATGTGAGATACAACTTAAATTCTTGTCGCTCTAAACATAGCACCTATAGGTTAACCCTTTTGTATGAAGTGAGGACGAATGTGCAAGAGAGGTGCCACACGTACATAACCCGTTCCACGTGAGGAGGTGGTTCTGACATCTGCTGCGTATTGTGAAGTTGGCCCAAGTGACCCATGTAGAGTTCTAGTTGGTGGGTTCAGTAGCACCTTGGAAGTTTAGAAAGGTGAGGGCCAGCTTATAATCCTTGTCGCTCCAAACGTAGCACTGTGAGGGCCAACTTATAATCTTTGTCGCTCCAAATGTAGTACCTTTGGGTTAACCATTTATAATCCTTGTCTTTCCAAAAGTAGAACCTCCGGGTTAACCGTTTTGCACGAAGTGAGGACAAAAGAGTAAGGGCGGTGCTACGTGTACACGGAGTTGGGCCCTATAAGCAGTTTTTGGATGCGGGGTGCCACAATGCACCCCAGTTTAGTCCATAAAGATAAGGATTTAATGACATCTTGGATAGGATTAGTTACTTGGTGTGACTAAGCAAGGACAGTTCCAGTGCTAGAAACTATGGGGTAGTTTCTATACTTGTCAAATCATGTAGGTACTACATATAGAAACTATATTCTCAATGTATAGTTTCTTCAAAATAAATCTTTGTCTAATCATATTTTTCATTCTCCATCATCTGCGCTATCACTTCTTTTCATGTCTTGGTTCCCTACGGACATAGTTTCTTATGTAAAAAACTATTTCCTTTTTGTTTTTCTTTAATTCCAATACTAATTAATCATTTTTCTTAGATGATGTCCTAATTAATGAACATAGGAAATAGATGGTTTATGATTAAAAGTGCCCTAATAAATTTATTGCTACACAGTACAGACTGCGATGCAGCGCGTTTTGTCTGCTAGTCATTTATATTCTTTTTATTTCAAGGCTTCTCTACCAACCGTATAATAACGAACAACTTGGTGCACATCCACTTTTAACGGTTTCATACTGTTTTATAGTATGGTTGATGGTTGCTTTTTTTTTTTTTTGAGCAACTGGTTGATGGCTGCTGTAGATCTTGTCTTGATTTGTGAGCGAAAGATCGATGCTATCCAACAAGCATGTGCCTCTGATTCAGTTTTTGGACTTTACGGCCACAAGTATCCGGCCCCCTGGGATTCTAGTTGATTACAGCGGCTTTCAGTTCAACAACTTGGGCTACCTGTAATGCACTCATGCACATGGACTTCAATTGCTTTAGGCAGGACTCCCATAATGCACTCGGGCCAGGGCTGCATGTTGGTTTGCTCTCCCGCCGTGAGATTTGGTTGTTTGGCCTTTATTGGAATTGTGAGACCGGGGGAGGTGGTGGCATGCTGGTTCACAGATCTCGAATCAAGAAGAACTGTCTCACAAATCCATTATCACGATCCATCCACACATACATGATACAACAATAAAATATATCCTGTCTCGCAAATCCATCATCTATACTTAGATCCATCCAATCATCCCTAGCTCATCTCATGGTCACAACGGGAGGAGGGGCTACATGGCTAGGCCTCAGGAGGCGATGGAGCTAGATCTGCATGATGCATTAGTGCCACTAGTCCATCAACCCGTGCTCTCGCATGGGCTAGAATTTTAGAAGAAATAAGCATTACGTACGGTTTAGTAATCTCTTCATTGCAAATTATAAGATATTTTTTCTAGATATATTTGCAAATTATATATCTAGACAATACGTCTACGTGTATAGCAAAAGCTATGTATTTACAAACTCAAAACCTCTTATAATTTGGAATGGGGGTGTACATGGATCTGACTAATAAAGAATTACTTACATTAAATTTTATATTTTCTCTTTGTCTATTTTCTAATATAGTAGACGTAATGGATACTCTGTAGTCTATATCTAGTTATCATAAACTTATTAATTACTATTTTTTAAAGAACTAATTTATATATTTTTTATCCATATTCATATTTTTTTCTTTGCATGGCACCTTTATATATTTTAAATATGCAATTACTTTAAACTATTAATCATGGTGGCTCTTGTTGTGTCATGTATATATCTTATGAAGTCATTAATCGAAATTTTGATTTTTCAAATTTTATTCTTATCAACTGTTATGGACTTTTTCTCCTCAAGTTAAGTTGAAACCCTTGTGCTTATTGTATTTTTCATTAACTCTCCATTTTGAACTTTTTCAAAATAAGGATTTTAGGTCATAGAGTATGTTCTTAAGTACTACAATAGCATAAGCCATTATTTGAAACATTCACCATATCGTTTAACATAAGTCATGGAGCTTGAAGTGATATCTTGGATAACCGCAAGAGAATTTTAATACTTAAACCTTATAATGATTGTCTTTTTACTCTAAAGTATTCTTAAAGGCCCAGAAAAATGTAACGACCAGTGGTCTCCCAAACTTCTTATTGAATTTTACTATCAAGGAATTATACTTGCAGTTATGGTTATACTATCAATATAGACATATCAAATATTTTAGTTAAAATACATAAATATATCTAAAGTAACAATCTATATATGGTTACTAATATAGTTTTATAATTTGTTAGCATCATTAGTGTATCAGATATTGAGAAAATATTTCTGACGTGATGAAATATAACATATGTATTTTATTGCTCATGCATGTTGGCACGACGCCTATATTTACTTTAATTAAATCTTGCGATATTAATATTGATAGAGGTGGGGTAATGTAGAAACATATACATGCTCTATTTGTTATATAAAAAATATTTGTAATAGGAGATTTTGACAATTTAGATGTAGATTTGTGAGGTATTTAATTTTTCTAATAGTGAGATGAAAATTGAGTTATGTAAATTATTGAACATAATAAAAGGATGTTGGTACTTAAATGAAAATTTAGATCTACTTTAGATCATATTTCTTAACGACATATGTCGGTACTTAAATGCAACACGTTTAATTAAAACTCGGCTTGCATCCCGACACTAAACATGTTGAATTTGTTATATTACAAGATTATATGTGTGTAGTATTATTTATATATCCTAGAGGGCATAAAATTAAATTAATAATATTGATATGAAATACTATTTCAGGAAAAATGTATGAACTTATTTAAAAAATAACTTACAAAATTTATTATTATAGAGTATTAATATAAAGTGCTAGTGCTATGTGGCTTGTTAAATGAACAATTTTCAATGCTTCATAAGTTGTTAAAATGAACATTTATCCTTATATATACATGTTTATTTCATATATATATATGGTGGAAATAGCATTATAGTTATTTTATTTCACGATTATAGAAGTCTATAATTAATTTCGATATATATTGTACTTTATGGTATTGATTTTTTTGTTATAATATATATTACTATTTATTTGTAAATTTTAGAGATTTTTTGTTTATTTTTTATAATGGCTAAGATATATACAAATATCAAGGTAATACCTTATATTATCTTTCACAACGACAGATATACATAGGCTAAATGCAAACTTAGCATATTACTTTTTATTATCTTTCATAATGACAATGGTGGATAATTTCTAAAACCATAAGGAGGTATTTTTAATTATCTTTCATAATGGTAGATGTGGGTAATTTAGATATAAATTTAGAGGATTATTTTAAATTATCTTTAATAATGACAAAGCTGGGTAATTTAGATGCGGTATTAGGGGATTATTTTAAATTATGTTTCATAATTGCTAAGGTGCGTAATTTAGATGCAATTAGGTGCTTATTTGAATTAGTTTTCCTAATAGAAGATGTTGGTAATTTATATATAAATGTAGGAGTTATTTTAAATTATCTTTTGTAATGGCAGGGGTGGATAATTTACATGCAAACTTAGGGGGTTACTTTATGTATTTTTCATAAAGGCAGTGGTGGCTAATTTTTTTAATAAACAACAATAGATCCAATGGCTAATATCGGTGATGATGATTAGAGTCTGTCAAATCAAAGGCCGAATGTTTCTGATTATTGTGAGAATTCCTCTTTATATATAGGAGAAATGATAGAAGGATAATGGGCTAATAGGCCTAACAGTTACTCGTGCCATGCCATCTTGCACTATGGGCTAGGGGAGTGACCTAAGTATGGCACCTGCCATGGGCCGTTAGTAACAAGCCGTGCGCCCATGCCATGTTTGGGCTACCGCAAAATCATGGGACATGTGACTGTCCATGGGCCTCGTGCCTTCTGTCCATCTATACATGGCAGATTTTGTGAGCCATACAAATTTGTATTAGAGTATCCAAGAATTAAAAGAGTGCCAAACTATCATAAAGTGAGGGAAATAAGAGAACAAAACTCACGTTAATCTTCATGAGATGTGCTAGGAAAAAATTAAATTCTAAAAGTTCTCAAAGTAGTGACAAATGTCTGAACCTTAGTTTGGCGCTTCCTAACTATCATTGTCAATATTTACTAAAATATTACCCACGTCTTCCATTATTATAATTTTGAAATTTACTACGAAACTACATACCTCTGCCATTATTAATAATAATTTACTGCATATAAATTACTTATTTCTGCCATTGCGAAAGTTAATACA